TCCACGGGAGTTACAGGCTCCAAAATTCCCACACTTTCCATAAAAATCACACTGGTCTAAAGGCAGCGATGAGGTAATATTCCAATCTCCCTTCTCTTCATCCAAAACTTTTCTTAACATCTTTCCTTCTGAGTTCAAGCTGAAGTAGAAAACACCAGAAGCAGTTGCCGGAGTGAAAGTAATCTGAGCAGTTTCAGCTTCTCTATCAGAAAGAAGACTAAAAACATTATGAAAAAGATTTGAATTCATACCAGGTATGCCAAGAAATATATGTCCATTCCATGGACCAGTACGATAAAATGGATGACCATTGTTCCAAATGAAGAGTTCTGGGATACTGACTTGACCAATGCCAAAAGAGAAGTTTCCAGTTGATGGATCAGAAGGGCTTTTCCAGGATACCAACTGCAAGTTCTTGCCAATTCTTGCGTCAGTACTGAGTGTCATCTGCAACAAGAACGAATCAGAAGGTTGGTGAAAGCTCTCCCATATTCTGTTTCCATCGGAATTGTTCTGTAAAACCAGGTTTCCAGAATCTAAAAGCTGAGCACTTGTGTTGGTTGCAAAAATTGAGACATTTGATGACCAAATGATCCTGTTCTCCTCACTTAAAACAACAAGATTGCCATCTTCAGATATCGTCAATATCCCAGATGAATTTTTAACTGGGTTATTTCTGTTAGCAACCCAGATCACAGTTTGCTCAGAAATATTGGTATACCATATTCCCACATAACGATCTGAAGACTCTTCAGGACTAAAGAAACCCAGTTTGTAAATATTGCCATTGGAGACTATAGATTCAGGGTCTTTTATGAACTGAGATGATGTAATTCTGTCTGTTTGACAACTGCAAACCTGTAAACAAAAACAAGAAACTAGAAGTACTAACAAAATTCTGCTTCTCTTAAGTCCCATAATTTCCTTGGTGATATCTACTTGCTCATAACAATTAAGAATTTGGATGTTGAAGCCAGAGCGTTGAATTGTAATGCCTTGAGTTTCCCTTTTTTGGGGAAAAAAACATGGTTGGTTGATATGTCAAATATTAGAATTGTCTTAAAATAAGAATTTTCTTTGACAAGCAGCGTGCATTTTTGAATTTCTTTACCAAGAAATAACAGAAAGAGGTACAATCTACACCAAAAGACTTTGACTAACCTGAATTTGTACAATAAACAGTTGACAAATTTTTTTGGATTACCGAAAATGTGGATGCAGAATTTCTTGGGATGTGGACATCTCTGACATTTTCAAGAGTATATCATGAACAACCACTTAAGACTTCTATTATCATTGTCTACACCAAAAGACTTATATCTTGTTCAAACCATTTTCTTTTTGTTTATAACAATTAGAAGGCTGAGGTAAAACCATGTCGAAGTAGAATTAGCTCGAAAACACTAGAGAGTTGTCATTAAGCTGGTCATTAAGGCTAGTTAAGTGCATTCTAACAAACAATTAACTTTATGAAAGCAAAATTTACAATGAAAATAGTAATTTCAAATTAAATGACTAAATTAGGATGTGGCATTTCCACTTGCACTTGTTTCTGTAGTCATATACATTATTCACTCCATTCCAATAAACTTTCGTAAGTAACTTCTTTAATTTTCATAACCTCGTTCTATTATTGTTTTGACGCTTTCATACTCCGTTTCGAAAACAACTTTTTAAATTTCATAATCAAACTAAGCGGCTCTATTGATTTCTTTCAAAGAACCCAATTATTTATACTCTCTCAAATACCGATAAAATTAAAATAGATCAAATTCGTTTCCTTCAATGGATATTTGATTTTTATCATTTTACAACCAATATTTTGTGATTTTAAAAATTAAACCAAAAACTCTGTTTTGTAAATTAGCATACATTTTATATTCTATAATTTATTTTAAAAAGATAATATACGAATATATCCTAAATATATGTGTTAGAAAAATTAATCCGTAAACCGTGCATAATCATAACAAAGTAAAAATAGAACAAAAATACAAGATTTAACGTGATTCGACAGTGTGTCTGCATTCACGGATAAGACCTACAAAAAAGTGTTCTATTATGATTAATTGAGAATACATCATCAATAAGTTAGCAAACCTATACAGAGAGAGACTATTAGAATTTTTTTAAAACAAAAATTCTTTAGGATATACATTAATTATTTCTCATAATAAATATAAATTATCACTAAGATATATATAAAATATTTAATAGGATAAACATCAAATATCCTCTAAAAATATAAATAAGATATCTCTAAAATTCAAGCTACATCAATAAATCTTTTATTAGCTTGAATTCCCTTTTATCATCAAAGCAATTAACCGTCTTGTCATACTGTTTTGCCAACATGTCCCCATATGAGTGTTACTAAGTATAGCATACTCTAACCAAGTCTAGGTCGTTATCTCATCTCTAAACAAAGTGACATCTGCTATCAAGTTCTTCTTCACACACAACACCAATCATTTAATATACATATGAACTTTCTGATTTATGCAAATCAATTGTCCTTGAAACTGACAAGTTATATGCAACAAGATTCTCATATCTTTGTGTGGTTTAATATGTATTCTCTCTATATCTGTTGCAATATTATATAATTTTTGTTGATAAGTGCACCATTACCTTCTTAATCAAGATCATGCACTTCATTCCTTAGCCATTGGACTGCACTTCTAACTGTGCTTGTTCTCTGACATTGTAATATGATTTTGTTATTGTATTCTCATTCTAACTGTCCAGTGAAACAGACTTATTAAATATCATATCTCTATTGATAATCAACCCTGGAGACTTAGAATCATTACACCACAACCTGTAGCCTTTTACTCTAGATGCATACTCAAGAAATATGCATTTCTTTGTTCTCGACTCAAGCTTACTATATCTAACATGATGATAAGTATGACAACCAAATACTCTCAACTGAGAGTAATCAACAGGTGACCCAAACCATACCTTAAAAGTAGTTTTATCCTCAATAGCTATGGATGAAGATCTATTAACTAAGAAACTAGTAATGTTCACATCCTCAGCCCATAATTCATATCCCAAATCTAAATGAGATAACATGCTCTGTGTCCTATCATAAAGTATAATATTCATGCGTTATACAATACCATTATATTGTGGTGTCCCAATACAAGTATGATGTCTCATTATATCTTTCATATTATAAAAATCATCAAACGTATGATTGTAAAATTCTAACATATTGTCAGTCCTAAGACATTTGATTTTCTTTTTTGTTTGTTTTTCAGTCGTGATATTTTATATGACAAATGTTGAAAATGTCTATTCTTTAGAGTTTAAGAAATACACTCAAACTTTTTTAGAATAATCATCAATCAACATCATGAAATACATGACACCACTTTTGGAGGAAACTTTATATGGACCCCTTAAGTCAAAATAAACATAATCTAACTTGTCTCTTGTCTTATGCACTACTCTTTTGTTGAACTTCACTCTAATCTACTTGTCAAACACACAATGGTCATAGAAACTCATAGCTCATTTTTTGTATCCGTTTAACAAAGTCTGTCTACTCAAAATATATAACTCCTTGTCACTGATATGACTCAAACTCAGATGTTACAACTGATTCTGATTACTGTTCTCAAGTACTATAGTAACTTTTTTTAAAACTACATTTCTTTGAAAAACGTACAATCTAAATTTTAAACTGTCTTTCATGAGGATATCATTCTTTACATGATATTTATAACATTGAGATGTCATTGTAGAAAGAAGAATTAGATTCATCTCCATCTAAAAAATATACGAACACTTTATAATTCTAATAACATCATCAAACATTCTTAATCTCATATTACCAATCTCAGGTACAGTCAATGGACTGTCACCTCTAATCTACACGTACTACTTATTTGCTTGTAAGTAGTAAATCAATATCTATGTTGACACGTATGGAATATAGCACCAGAATAAAGAATTCAAAATTTCTTTTTATGATCCGAATTCATAAATAAAACTACTTCAATATTGTTATCACTGTCATCAGAATTACCAATGTCGACTATATTAGTAGAACCTTTCTGCTTTTTTCCTCTCTTCAGCCGAGAACAATCTCTCCTAAAGTGACCATACTTCCCAAACTCAAAATAGTTTCTCTTTTCACCTCTAGATTTTGATATCACCTTTTTTTACACTATTTCTCTATTTACCAAATCTTTCCATTTTATTTTATTTACCAAATCTTCCCAAACTCTTTTGATTTTAGTGTATTACTAACATCATATAATAGAATACTAATTTCATACAATAAATTATCAACAAAAGTCTCATACAATATAATAATGAATACAATATAATCAATGTATGATCCTTATTATTAATCTTGATATCAATGTTACTCAGGTCCATAATTATAAAATTAAATTCATTAAGATACTATTTAGTGGGGATATTTTTACTCATTTTAATATTGCATAGTATTTTCTTCAAATAAAGATGATTTGTCAACGATTTTACAAAACATAACTCTTTCAGTTTTTCCATGCAGCTGAACTTGAATTTTCTCCTCTAATTTTTTGTAGAATATCATGGTCACACTCATAAAAATTGTACAAAAGGCTCAATCCTACAAATCTACCTTATCATACTCTCTAGTACCCTCATAAAACTTTTCTTCAATTGCCCTCATAAACCTTACAATGTAAGGGACGATCTTAGTTTAATATTTTATAAATTGAAATTCGTTCTACCATCAAATTTTTTCATATTATACTTTGTACATGTTATCTCGAATCTTTATTTTATGTACAAAAAATAAAAAAGAGAGAAATATTACGATCAAAAAATAAAATATCACTGTCAAAAAATATTACTATGCACCACCGCACCTAACCACATAAGCCTCATGCGCAGCCACGCACCGCCACATCCGCGGTCGCTGGAACTGTCACATGCCTCGCTGACAACCACCCACCATCGTGATCTGGCCAGAAAACACCATAAAAGCACGTGCTTTCTCAGATCCGACACAAATTTGGTGAGATCGCACCGAGGAACACTGGAAAAATGCCTTAGCGCAAAATGGGTTATTGTGGCTGGGTTTTTGTTCTCGGCGCGCGTTCTCTCTCTTTGGCTCTAGTTTCACTCACACACGGCTTTGTCTAGCCTTTTTTTGACCGTTCTCATGCAGATTCGGTCAAATCTGCAATGCACACCTGCCCAAGCAAACGTGGACACCCGCAGCTTCTCTGGTTTTCTTTAAGTCGCACCGCCGCTAGGATTAAGAGTCTTTTATTCGCTCGCACGCTTGTCTTTCTTTTAGGTAGCGCTCGTCACACCGGAGGTTCCTCCCTTTCGCGCAGATATAGATGAATCCAACTTATTTCCACACTGTGCACGGATCTTTGTGTCTAAAGTGGAGTGTTCTTCTATAAATCCTCTGTGCGCCGTTTCGTCTTCCACAGCCGAATGTCGCTGCTGTTTTTGGTGTTAACAGATAACACCTCTCTCACTTTTGTATTATGACTTTCGCTCCCAAACCTTTTATAACTTTTAACTCTCATATTGGAAAAATTAATTTCTAAAACACACATAAGCACAACAAAATAAGAGTAAAAAGAAAAAATATAATATTTAATATTCTTATATCCGCAAGGAAGACCAATAAAAAATATTCTAACATAATCAATTGAGAGTAAATCATTAATAAATTAATAAATTTATATATAGAGAGATTATTAGAGTTTTTCTCAAATAAAAATTATTTAGAATATATATAAATTATTTTTTATAATAAATACAAACTATCATCAAAATATACATAAAATATTATTAAAATAAACATTAAATATTCTCCAAAATATAAATAAAATATTCCAAAAATTCAAGTTACATCAACAATATGAATTATGTTACCCATAATATAAAATACAATAGAAAACCAATATAATCAAGTAGCAAAAAATAAAACAATGAATTTTTTTATTTGATTAGTGATTGATTCTCATTTTCTTTAAGTGTTTTAAATGATAGATGAACATATTTTCAATATTAATAATATATATTACTAAGTAAAATACAATTTTAATATATTATAATAAATACTAAAATTAAAACATTGGCCATTGATCTATTTTTTTTTTACTAATTTTTAACTATAATATCGTTGAAGAAAATAACCATAAGATTCCATTTGAAAAATTTAAACATGAGGCTGTCTATATATATTTTTACTAATAATATTTAAAGTTACAGAATCAAAGATGAACAAATGTCTGAACGGATCTATAAAAATAAATTTTTTTTTAGGTCAGTTCATGTTTGATCATCAAAATCATATGATAAGATCATAATTAAATTAATTTAATGTTAGATCCATTTATCTTTAAATACACGAGTATATATCTTTTTGTTTTTAGAGTGTATTTTGTTTATTTTATCACAATAATATTAATGATGAGAACATATATCAACGTGTTATGGCATATAAACGTTCAAAATGTTTGACTAAGTCTATTGCTGTTACTTCACAAACGTCATTGCTTGTTTTTTATTAGAGAATAAAAAATAATTTAAACTGGAAAAAATATATCCTCAATAATACATGTAGGGTTGCTTGCTCAAAACTAGTTGTGTTTTTTGTCTATGATGACCCCACCAAATCCTACATCGTGTGGAAAGAAACTTGAGTGACGTCATTAAAGATGACTTCAATTTAATTTATGATATTTGGGCCCACAACACAATTGGGCTTTAGGAGATGAGGCCCAACTTATCTTGTTCTTCGGACATGGGACTGCTGGTGATAGGGACAGGTCATACTTGAGTTGTCGGTAATCGGATTTTAATAAATTGAAAAGGGCAATTTTGTCATTTCATATCTCACATCAATTATTCATCCGCCCAATAATAATCACTCTTCTTCTCCCCACCCTTACTTTTCTTACACCTCCACCTTCGGTTACATTTCTCAGCTTCTGCCACACTATGGTTCTCCATAACCTCTCCTACCTTTCCTTAGCTCTGCTACTGTTCATCCGAGTCGACTCGACTCAACCTCCATTCTCATGCGGCCCATCAACCAAATCTTACCCTTTTTGCCGAACCAATCTGCCCATTAGCCAAAGAGCTCGGGACCTGGTATCCAGGCTCTCCCTGGACGAGAAGATCTCCCAACTCGTTAACTCAGCCCCGGGAATTCCTCGACTCGGTATCCCCGCTTACGAATGGTGGTCGGAGGCATTGCACGGCGTGGCCAGCGTAGGCCCCGGCATCCATTTCAATGGCACCATTAAGGCCGCCACCAGCTTCCCTCAAGTCATCCTCACTGCCTCTTCCTTCGATGCCTACCAATGGTATCGCATTGGTCAAGTACGTGTAAATTAACAATAGCACAGCTTTTGACGTCAATTATTACTATTAAAAACCATGTTTTTTGCGCTCTTTTGTTATCCAATAGTGATGACGTATGTGTACACATGTCTATGAATGAACTGATAGGTGATTGGGAGAGAAGCAAGGGCAGTGTATAACAGTGGGCAAGCTCGGGGGATGACATTTTGGGCGCCGAATATAAACATATTCAGGGATCCAAGATGGGGGAGAGGGCAAGAGACGCCGGGGGAGGATCCATTGGTGACAGGGAAATATGCAGTGTCGTACGTGAGGGGGATTCAAGGGGATACTTTTCAAGGAGGAAAGCTCACCGGGCATCTTCAAGCTTCTGCTTGCTGCAAGCATTTCACTGCTTATGATTTGGATAAGTGGAAGGGCACCAACCGATTCATCTTCGATGCTCGTGTAAGTGCCAGTCAATCAGTCATCTCTTTTCTTTTTAGCTTTTTTATTTTTTGCCTTCTCTTTTTTAAAACTTTGTCCTAAAGAGTGAGCTTCAAAGATTCCCTTTGATTTGCGTTATAACTATTAAGCATTTGTCTCCGTCTGCATCACTCCCTTTGTTAAATGGGAAGCGGAATTAATTTAATAAATCAATGTAGATTTCAATTGGGCGGAACTGCTTTATGGGGGTTTTTTCAAGGATTTTAATTCATGGGTATTAATTTAATGATCTCTCTCTCTCTCTCTCTCTCTCTCTCTCTCTCTCTCCCATCATGGAGGGTTCCTAAGGAAAACCCACACGTAGATAGAGAAAATTAACAATGGAAAAGGTGAAAACTTGTTTTGGATCATGAGCTAAACTTTCCCAGATTAGAATTTACAGTAGTTTGTGGATATGGAGACAGGTGACTCAACAAGACTTAGCAGACACATACCAGCCCCCATTTCGAAGCTGCATAGAGGATGGGAGAGCCAGCGGAATCATGTGTGCTTACAACAGAGTAAACGGAGTCCCAAATTGTGCAGATTACAATCTCTTGACCAGAACCGCTAGAGGACAATGGGGTTTCCATGGGTAACTTTTTGTGCCACATTCTGCATATTGTGCAGGACATTTCTGTAATTTGATGAATTATGTGTTTTTACTGGGGTTGGGAAATGTTATCAGGTACATTACATCGGACTGCGATGCGGTCTCCATTATCCATGATAATCAAGGATATGCTAAATCAGCCGAAGATGCTGTTGCTGATGTCCTCAACGCTGGTATTCTGGGACTTTATCTCTTTAGTCCTTACTAAAGTGATTAATCTGGATTTCCATTGTGGGATTTCTTTTCCAGATTCTCATATTAATATACACAATTTCAGAAATTACAGTAAAAGAATTATTTAATTGCTCACAGGGCCTTTTCATTGTTTGCTTATTATTTCTATGTGCATTTTCAGGCATGGATGTCAACTGCGGTTCCTACTTGCAGAAGCACACCAAATCAGCAGTAGAGCGGAAAAAACTACCCGAATCTGCAATAGACAGAGCTCTCCACAACCTCTTCTCTGTTAGAATGAGTTAGGCCTTTTCGATGGATATCCAAGTGGCAAGCCTTTTGGCAACATCGGTCCCGACCAAGTGTGTTCCCCACAGCACCAGATGCTAGCCCTTGAAGCTGCCCGCAATGGCATTGTTCTCTTGAAGAATTCGGCCAAACTCCTCCCACTTTCAAAGCAAACAACCACTTCACTTGCTGTTATAGGTCCCAATGCCAATGCTGCAGGCACACTGCTAGGCAACTATGCGGGTCCTCCTTGCAAATCAATCACTCCATTGCAAGCACTGCAGA